CCTAGGGTGGCATTCTGTTTTTTGTGGTTGTCTAAGCAGCCCTTCTTTGGTCACCTACAGGGCATTTGGGGATAGATATGGACAACTATGTAGTCCTGCATAGACTGGCAACAACAAAATGAGAAAAAACCTTCCATCTTTTCACCTAAACAGCTGGAAAAACAGGGGACCTGGCTTCTAGTGTCCCCTCCTACCCTCCACCAAAAGATGGCTTGAACCTGGACTTTCTGACTTCCCAGCCCAGTATGATATATGTCATCTAGGCATTTCTTAATCTGAAATTCCTGTACAAATATAACATTTTATTGAGAAAATGTTTAAAAAAATATGTTTTTTACATGCTCTTGTACAATTAGAAGATAAATTCAGGACCTCAAGCATCATTACATAAATACATATTTGGTACATGTTAATACAATCTACGGCTTGCAATTAGTTGTTCAGTCTATATTAGCCTGGGGTAAAGTGTTTACACAATTTCAGCATAACTCTATGGAAAGAAAACAGCAAAGATACCGTGCATTGGAACAGCATCCTTATAGCGTTGCAAGGCATTCTTAGACAATGATTTTAGCACATAGGCTGGAAGATATTCAAAGGCATTAACAGTCTTTGCAAGTCTGTGATAGGTGTCTTCATGGCGCTTTCACAATTAGGTAAGGGATTCCTCTATGGCACTGCAGATATACCTGCAGTGGTTTTTTACCTGCAGAGGCATACAGATACACTTGCAGGGGCTTTTACCAATCAAATGGCCTCACTAAAGCAAGAAAAAAAAATACTGATTTAGAACACAGGTGTCCATCCTGCAGCACATGGGCCACAAATGGCAAAGGCAGATGCTGTGTATACCCAAGCTCCAGGATCTCAAAAAATAGACGCACCAGAAAGTGGGGAGTGGGCATGACTTTCTGGCTGCCTGGAAGAGAGCAGCAGCAGGACACTACAGAGAAAAGAGTCATCAGGTGTCACACCTAAGAGCCAGGTTAGACTTTCCCTGGTCCTGCAGCCGCTGCCAAATTGAGGGCATCAGATGCTTGATCATCTGCAGTGGTCACAGGGCCAGGGAAGATTGACCCTGGCTCTTAGTAGAGACATCTCCATCAGCAATATCCAGCCCCAACTCCACTCTGTGCACTGGGAGCTTCGAGTCTCCCTGCCCGTCTGCCTCCATTGTGGTTTCCCAGGACACAATCTTATCACATATGCATCTGGGAGGTGGGCATCAGAGCAGAATCTGGGAGGGGGCCAGGGTTAACTTGTGGCATGCCTGCCAAAAACATTGCTTACCACTGATTTAGAACAAGAGCAGTTCGAACAAGGCATCTCTATTCAACAGTAAACTGTACTGGATGCATACCTGCTTCTTCTCCGGCGCTCACCATTCCCTGGGGCTGGAAGCCCCAGTTCCTCAGACTCTCCTACAGACCATGTCTGTCAGCCTCTAGTCTCAGAAAATTATTATCAAGTGATGGTCTGGACAGTTCCCCCGGTCACTGGCCACCCTTTCCCTGCCTTGGGGATATCCTTGCAAAACAAGGGTTCATGGAGAAGATATTATTGAAGCCAACAGTCTCTTCATAGCTGGTGCTCTTACCTGGAAAACCACTGGGTTGATTCTCTATTTCTTCTTGCTCACTATAACCAAGAAGACTGGCATATGATGTTCTTTCCAATATCCCAGTATAAGTTATATGGCTTTTCCCAAAAACTGGTTTGCATATAAATATACGTATTTTATTTACAGTAGTGACTATATTATGGCACATCAGCTCCACCTCTGCCACTCACCTTAAGGGACAGTCACTGATATTAGCCGAACTGGGTGACAAATGAAATGAGATTTTTTTGAAAATTTCATGCAGGTATTTTGGTAAAACCTTGACATGGTGTGTTCACATTTTCCACACACTTATCCAACACATTCTGACTCCTAGCTCCCATGCTCAAGTCCTGTTAAATATACTTTTGCTTGAAGATGCAGCATCTGAAATCCCCTTACAAGAAGCAGGGTGGAGAGTGGTCTTCCAATTTCCATTTCACTCCTGTGCCGCTCATATGCAGCAAGGATATGAGGAGTGCTGGCATGTCAGCTGTTCACACTCCTGCCTAAGTTTTATGATCTGTAAAACAGGTATAACAAACTTCACTTAGTTTTTTGAAGTGCTTCCAGGATTTCTGTAAGTGAATTAGGTGGTTTACGGTATCCAGGTTGGAGCTGTATTGGTCTAGAAGAAAAGGCAATCAGGACTTGTAGTAGAGATGATATCCTTTTTTAACCAACAAGAGTTTTGCAAATAAAGAAGTTTTTTGGCAAAAATCTTGATAAAAGATATCATTTCTGATATGAGTCCTGATTGCGTTTAGGGGGGTTGAGTATTTTTACACTTACTCTAGCCTTCTCCCACATCTTTTATTTTTTAGATCTATAATCTGTTTCCAGCCCTTGGATTTCTCTTCAAGAATTACAAGACTGTTCTTCAAAACAGGGATGAGTTTCATGCTTTTACACAGGTTATTTTCAAAGAACACCTCAAAAAGCTGGACAAAAATGACCAGCGAAGCCTTATTGAGGTATTCTTCGTAAGACAGAAGGAGGTAATCAGTCCCTACAGCGTTTTCCAACTTGCATGTTTCCTTCTTGTATCTTGGAGTTAAAGGCTCATTGTATGGAAGTCTAGCATTGGCAATGCACAGGACTAACAAAGTCCTGGAGTTATGCAAATAGCTTGCTGCACTTAGCTCCCTCTAAACCACGCGTTACCTAAAATTCAGGGTCTTGCAGTTTGTTCGAGGTAGGAGGATAAATTGAGGATAGTCACATTTTGCTGATCAATTCACAATTAATGTATACAGTCCTGTATTCAGGATCATGCCAGACATACAGTAAGCATTATTTGGACAAGGAAGGGGACAAGCTGAGGGATAAGATAACAGAAGACACAGAGAGTGTTTGATGGGTCTGAATGCACTCAGTCATTAGGGACCGATGAACTTCATCCCAGGGTACTGAAGGAACTGGCAGAAGGGATCTAGGAGCTCTTGGCAATATTTACAATGTCGTGGGAGATGGGCAAGGTACCAGAAAACTGGAAAAAGGCAAGTGTAGTGCCCTCTTTTAAAAAAAGGCAAAAAGGAAGATCCAGGGAACTATCGACCTATGAGCCTCACCTCAACACCCAGGAAGTTACTGGAATATATTAAAAGGAAGTTCACTTGCAAGCATTTGGAGGAGGAAAGACTGACGACAAATAGCCAGCATAGATTTATTAGAACAAAGTAACTACTTGGGTGGATGAAGGGAATGAAGTCTATTTAGTGCATCTAGACTTCAAGAAGACTTTTGGCAAAGTCCCATGTAGCCTTCTCAAAGAAACTGGAGTAAGGTGGGCTAAACAAAACCACTATAAGGTGGGCAGACAACTGTCTCATAGCTGCAAGCGAAGGATAATTATAAATGGATCAAGATCAGATTGGCAAGAGGTTTCATGTAGGGATCTGTCTTGGGCCCAGCATTGTTCAATGTGTTTATCATTTGGATGCAAGACTAGAAAGCTTTTTGAGCAAATTGGCAGCTGACGTGAAACTGGGAAGGATCGTCGACACGGAGGACAGGAGAGCAATTCAGAAGGATTCTGACACATTGGAAATCTGACCCGGAGATAGTAAACAATCAGAAACACAAATACAAAATGGGTGACAACTGACTGAATGTCATCACTACATAGAAGGATCTGGGAGTCTTGGTAGATCACAGACTCACTATGAGTGTTTGGTGTGATGCACTCACACAAAAGTCACATGCAGTTTTGGGATGCATCAATAGAGACATTACGTGCAAGACAAAAGACGTGCTAAGGCCTCTCTACTCAGCACTGGTTAGGCCTCATCTAGAGTACTGTGTGCCATTTTGAGTTCCACATTTAAAAAAAAACATGGAGAAGATAGAATCCAGAGGTGGATGACAACAAATGATAAAAGACTTGGAAGACAACTCATATGAGGAGGGGTTGAAGGAGCTAGGCATGTTTGGCTTGTGAAAAAGGCACTTAAGAGGGATGTGATAGCAGTCTTCAAATATCTGAAGAGCTTCCATAAAGAAGAGGGATAACACAGTTTCTTGTTGTAGAGAGCAGGACATGGAGCAATGGCTTGATGTTGCAGCAAAGCAGGTTTAGATTGGATATCAGGAAAAACTTCTTCACTGTTAGAACAGTGAGGCAGTGAAATAGACTGCCTGGGGAATTTTAGGACTCTCCATCACTGGAGGTGTTCAAGAAGGGGTTGGACAAGCATTGGTCAGGGAAGATCTAGGAGTAGCTATGCCTATACTCTTCTGTGAGCATTTCCCTTGCTTCTGGGCTTTGCTGGTTGCCACAGCCACACTATATAGCTTCCAAAAACGGGTCCTTTATTCAAAGCCCTCCAGAAAAATCTAGCCTTTTCCTCTTCAGGCTAAAAAAAACCATGCCTTATTCCAGATTGTAAAACAAAACAGTGCCTATCTTCCACAGGACCCTTCTGCTCCCCTGCCCTTTTTCAGATAGCCCTTTCAATGTTCCCAGCTGCAGATCCATCCAGAAGCCTGATCCCTTTCACTTGCACCTCATCGGCAAGCAGGACTTTTTAGATCCTTAAAGGATCTATGTCTTGTTACAGCATGTTCTGCATTTGCACTGCCACATCTGTTGCAGTTGCATGCACGTTTGCCTAATTTCATGGCCGCCTCTACACATTGGTGTCCACACAAATGCACATGCTTTTGTGCATCATCGTACATGGCACATGTATAGACCACCATCCCCGTGACATGCAGCTTTGTGAATGGGCTATGAACACATCCCTGGCGCCTAAATGCCTCTATAAGAGACATATGTTCACAGAGGGACAAGTGGAACAAGCAGGGAGGGCAGCAGCCCAATGTGGGGAGCCTTACCTGTGTAGAGTGAGATGTAAGGGGAGTCGATCACCTCGAACTTCAAACTGGGGAGGAAAACTCGCCACTGGAAGAGGGGGAGAAAAAAGAGAATGAGAGCTGTGGCCAGGGAAGATGGAGTGCTGCTCTGCCCTCCTTGCCCGGCAGAAATCCCAAGGGAGATCTGGTGTGCTGAGACTTCTGCCTTGAATCTTTTGAGTGTATATTAACAAGACTCATAGCACCCGGACATTAACTGCTGTTGTTCCCCTGCTTTATCTGTAGCAGGTTCAGGAGGTATGTCTTGTGTTGTGTCAAGGTTGACTTGTGTACAGCAGATTTGTCTAGGATGGTTTGCATAGGGATGCTACCGCCTGTGTCAGGGAATTGGACAAGAGCAGCGTTTCTCAACCGGTGCGTTGCGACATCAAAAGTGGGTCACAAGAATATATAAAAGGGTCACAAAAAATCTTTAAAATGGATCAACAAACTTAAAAAATGGATTCTCCTTTAAAGGAGTAAAACGTGGGAAACTGTGGCTTTTCCCTTGCAGGCTGACTGAGCTGGGACCAGCCCTGCGAGGGGGTTTGGGGTCCCATGTACCCTCCACCATCCCACCCCCTTCCCGCATTAACGGGAGTGAAGGACACTGAGTTGGGACCAGCCATTGATGTTTACAATGGGTCCTGGTACAAAAAAGGTTGAGAACCGCTGGACAAGATGATCTATCGAGGTCCCTTCCAGCCCAGCTTTTCTAGGATGCTGTGAAGCAAACACCAGGAGGCAGTGTTCATTTTCAGCACCAAAGAAGTAGGAAGAGACAGCCACTGGATGCAAACACATGGGGAAACAAAAGGCACCAATGGGTGACTATTGCTCAGTTTGAGTGAGCATTTGAGGAACCTGTTTTACAAATGGAAAAGCAAGATGTAATTTTTGCTATTCTATATCTTTACTCATGGGGTAGCTTGTCAAGGATTGTCTAGTAAAAGATGGAAAAGTTCTTCTTTAATTGTGATAATAAAGTAATAAATTTTCCCAGCAGAGATTGCTTAAGGTGTTGACCTGAAGCGCTTTCTGACACGGTCTAAAGTGACCATGAGCAGAGTTGTTTGCGCAACTATAGGTGGAAGTCAGCCATAACGATGACAGTAGTGGTGACAGTGTGATATAAATAAGAGAGATATTTCTGGGGTTTGACCCAAATCCTCCCTTAGCTTTTTAAGCTTCAATTTCCCATAGGGAATCTTTTAGTTTGAATCTCTTCTTTTTTTTAGGAGAAAAGCGGCACCAATGGCTATTTCCATAATGAAAATTTAAAAAACCTTGTATTAAACTTGTTTAGTGCTGGAACGGAAGCCACTTCCACCACACTGCGCTGGGGCCTTCTCCTAATGATGAATGACCCTGAAATTCAGCGTAAGTACTTTCATCTCAGTTGTCATTATGCCTGACAGCCACTATCAAGGATTGAGTTGGGACCTCCAGAGTTCAAAGCGTCAGTCTATATAACTTGAACGCCTCCGTACCTTCTGTGGGTCAGGCACAAAGAGGGATAAAAAGCGACATTTTATCCATAGGATATGTGTTATGTTTTTCCATCTTTTAAATCTTGGAAACACTATGATAAATATAGAGTTATTCCATTTTATTCAATAGTAAGTCTTCAAATGCCCACTACCAGTTTTTTTGTCTTTGAAAAACAGGATTCATCAGAACTGAAACGGGGGTACGTGAGAGCCAAATATGCAAGGATGATTTGCCAATTGTGATGAATCTGCCTACGTACTAGTCAATGAGTGGTTCTTATGAAACTGTTGTAATTGGACTACCTCTATGGGAAAATGTAGCCACCACTGCTGACAAGAGAGATATTCTCGCATTCTTTCTCTAAACCCCCCCACCCCCCGAAACAATAGCAAAATCAATGGGAGTTTGTTAACCATTACGATTTTGACAGACTTCCATATTCTAGAATGCTGCGGGCCCAACACAGGCCTTCCATCCAGCTCTACTTAAATTAACATATTATTAGTTGACAATTTAATGAGGGGATTTAATGAGTGAGAAGAGAGTGGGTTAGTTGTATGATCTTACAAATGCTCAGTTCTGCTTTAATCCTCCCCATTAAAGACGATAAGTTCCAATGTTGTCTGCATCCCATTTTTTCTGGAAAAAGGGAACTTTCTGAGAGTTTACCTGCTATGCTGTTCTCCTTTTCAATGTGTATGATTTTTTTTTAGAAAAAGTTCAGAATGAGATAGCGACAGTTTTAGGTTCAAACCTACCATGTGGTGAACATCGCACTAAGATGCCTTACACAAATACAGTTGTCCATGAAATTCAGAGGTTTGCTAATATTGTGTCAATGAATGGACCTCATTCCGCTACCATGGATGTCACTCTCAAGGGCTACTTCATTCCAAAGGTGAGCTTTTCTAAGGCAGTATTTTCAATAGTACTTTTTATCAAAATTGTATATTATGCTTTTCAATGCCTTTTATCATATTCATGATTAAGAGACCTTTTTCGTCCAAGGAATAAAAAATAAGGTTGTGATTTTCAGGGAACTTACATCATCCCCTTCCTGGGCTCAGTGCTACAAGACAAATCTCAGTGGGAGAAGCCAGGTGATTTCTATCCTGAGCATTTTCTTGACCCTGAAGGAAAGTTTGTGAAGAAGGAAGCCTTCATGCCATTCTCAGCAGGTACCAGCTATATTTTTCTTGAATGTTGTAATGGATAGAGAATGAAGATTCAGCAGCTTACAACTTGGGCCTGTGATTCTTTCCAAATGTAGCTTCATATCTTCCAGTCCCAGTGGGACCCCCACTACAGTGGTGAACATTCCCCCACTTAATGAACAACTCCAAACCTACTGACAGGGTGTGCTCAGTAGCTTATTAGCATATACTGCTGCTCAGTAGCAAATTAGCATGAATACACCAATGTGTACTCACTTGCAAAATGCGGATGTGCTCTTCCATTCTGAACTGGTTTTACACAATCAGAAATCTATAACTTACTTGATAGCTATTGAAGGGGTTATTTCTCACCGTGCAGATAACCATAAGGTTGAAAGTCATTTCTTTACAATGAGGATTTTCATCTGTGATCCATACCTTTGTAACCTCTTGTTGTTACCTCCAAAGACCTGTGATGTCCTTGTGCAACATCATTTGAATGAGCACACACCACAGCAATTCAGTGACTATAAACTTAGTGGTCACATCTACACGTTTATTAATGTGCTTTAATTATGGTGCATTAAGTTTACTACCTGTAATACCAGGTACTAACAATGCGCCAACAATCGGCACTACTACTCATTAGCACAGATGAGCATTTTTTTAAGTTATATTAATGTGCATTAGACTAAAGCTACTGCACAGTAGTGCATTAGCATGGTTTATGCCAGCTGCACTGATGTGCAGAATTAGTCTTCTGCACATTAAGCATCTTATGTAGGCACACGCAGTGTTGTCTTTAGTCATTCTTATCAGACAGGTGATCAGACTAGCTGACAGCAGAGATGGTGCAGGATTAAATACAAATCCAAGTTGCATTTCTATTCTACTCTTTTTATGCATTAGAAGTGCTTACACAAAATCACATTATTCACTACACCTGATCAGTCATGTTTGGTGCCACGCACCTTATATTTTACTAGCTAATGAACTTATTTCATTGTGACATTCCTACATATCTTCCCAGATAGATACTAAGATTTGGTTGTACATTTCTACACGCTTTTCTTATCTACTAAGGCAGGTTGGACTAATGCTGTCCATCCCAGGATGTTCCTGACCAGATTCCAAATATTCTGATTTGCTCTACCTAGTGCTTTCCACAGAACTTCAGACTTGCAGATGTTAAGTCTTACTGCTCTTAGTCTGTCTTATGGCCTACACCTTTGTACTGGAATGCCAGCATGCGACTCCTTTATCAAGTATGACTTTGATAAAGAAGAGTAGCACTTGACTTGAAAGGGATGGAAGGGCTTCCTTCAAGTTAAATACACAGCTACATTCCTTCCTGAAGCCAAGTCTGATGAGACCAAACCATAAATGAAGGGGGCAGATGCAAAATATAAGTTGTTGTAGCTTGTTCCTCAAAAACAGCTTTTCCAAAAGTGAGTCTACATGTTCATTAATGCACCATAGTTACTGTGCTTTAAGTTTAGTACTTGTATAAGTACTATTTAGTACTTGTATAATCTTCTATATTTCAAAAAAGGAGGAAGCGGTACTGGGCAGTAACACCGGTGCATGGCTTTTTAGTGATGCCAGCTGTGCAGTAGCCAACAACTGCTGCTCAGTAGCATATTAGCATGATTTTGCCCTGCATGCTATTGCACTGTAGAATTAGGTTACTGCATGGTTAGTGTCGCATGTAGACGCACCCCAAAATTATGTGGAATCTGGATTTGGTAATGTGGTCTGTTTTCTCTCAGTTGAAAAGGTGTTGGTTTCACTACGGCTGAGCAAAAATGGTTATAAAATACTTAGAAGTGTTGAAAGAAGGTTTTCACTGTTGGCTTTTGGGGTTTTTTGTAAGGTTTCTGCAGAGTTTCTATTGATTTCTTCCTCCCCTCAAGAAACATTCTCAAATAAAGTTTTTTATAGAATCAAATATTTGCTTTCAACAATGTGTTGTTTAAAAAAGAAAATCAACTGTGACTAAGCCAGTCAATCAAAATTGGCAGTAAAGGACCAGTGGCCTCCTAACCAAAGTTTGCAAATGGAAATTAAAAAAGGAAGTAGCTTTGGTACACAGAGAGAAACAAAGGATTCTCTCTATTTCAACAAATTCTTTCAGGCAAACATCTGTTTTACCATAATAGTCTTAGGAGGAAGGTTATTTAAACAAAAAGTGCAAACAATTATGATGTCATAGGGATAACGGAGACCTGATGGGACTGCACCTATGCCTGGACCACAGGTATAGATGGCTATACCCTGTACAGGAGGGATTGTGTAGAGAAAAGGGGCGGGGGTGTAGCTCTCTATGTTAAGGAAAGCTACACGTCCCTGCAAGCCGATATTAGCGACCAGGGTGACGGCTGGAGACCCTCTGGGTTAAAATCTGTGGGGAACAGGGCACAGGGGACACAACGGCGGGAGCCTACCAAAAC